CCCCGCGGGGGGCAACGCCAGCGAGTGCGACTGCCACGAGTGGCACTACCGCATCAGAGCCGGCCTCGTCCAAAACGTCGTGAGCAAGGTGAGAAAGGTGGCTTCCCTCGCCCCCCCTCCCCATGCAGCCCTCACGGACCCCCTCGGCCTTACCCCGGCCCCGCTCAGCACCCGCCCGCCCCAGGACGGAAGGGGAGCGGCTGGACACGATGCGGCTCTGTCCGTGCCGCCCCATCCCCGTAAGCCTTTCCCTCCCTGGGTATCATGCCGGCTGTTCGACCTGCGGGTTTGTACCTGGGCCCTGAGCTGCAGAGTTATGTCCCGAAACGGGCTCCTCAGTGGCTCTTTGGTACCCCAGCAATGGCACCTGCCCTGCGGTCTTGGGATGCAGGTGTCTGTGGGAAAAACGCTGTGGGCGAGTGTCACCAGCTAGCGAGGGGAAAGGGTTGTGGAGAAGGCTTCAGTTGTGATTCCGCTCATCTTTGTGCAAGTATGGTAAAGCAGGCGTATAAACCAAAAACCAGAGTGTTTTTGGGGAAGCTGGGGAGGTAGTCACGGTGGAGGGGAAAACAAGACAAAGTTCTACTGGATTCTTCTTGTTTTGCGCTTATTCCCTTCATAACTGTTTCAGTAGAGCGATAAAAGAAGAAACATCTCACGCAAGTAGTTGTACTCCAGAGGCAGAAAGTGCATGCTGCTCTGTTTTGTGTTTCCTAATGCAATGGCTAAGGTGGAAAATTTCTAGTGAGGAGGACAGCGCTGCTTCCTGCTCTTATTTCATATTTGCTGAGTAGCGCATGCAAAAAAATGCCTTGCCTTTTCACCTGAAAGCTTTTGCTTGTTTATGGTACTGGCCCTGCGAAAGCCCTACCAGCTGTGGATGGGCCTTGTTGCTACTAAACAGGCAACTGGAGCTCTCAGAAATGTGGAATGAATCAGTTACACCAGGAAAGTAGTTCCCTTAATCTCAAGACTCCCCTACTAAGATCAGCAAAAATTACTTCCTGCCTGGGAGCACTGTTTTGGATTAACTGTGCTTATCTAGTTGGGGGAAAGAAACGCAGCAATAATGAGATGACCGGCATGATTGTGCTTTGGTCAGCCGGCACGTGTTCGTATTTAATCAGTGAAAATCATTTCAGTTTCTCTTTGTGTCCCTTGAAAGCGTGTGCAACTGGGAAAAGATGGGTAAAGCACATCCCTCAAAACCTTGAACCCAGAATGTATTAAAAAAAAAGTAACCCAGCTATGCTCCTTTCACGAGAAAAACACAGGTGCATGGTGGACTTGAATGGTTTGTGATGTAGAAGTGCATAATGAAATTTGACATTTAAGAGTGGTAGATTTTCTTCTGTTTATAACCAGAGACTGAGCTATTCATATGTTTTAGGGTTTAACACCGATGCTTAGGCATGAAAAAAAGATCTTGAAATATTTCTTTTTAGTGTAAACTGTCAAAAAAAAAGGGTTTTAAATGTTTGAATCTTTTGAAGGTCATCATCATCAGTTGTTCACAAAAAGTCAAGGAAGAGTTAGTTTGCTATCTTGCATGCTTCTTTAAAAACAATAAAAGAAGCATTCTTTGGAAGAACTTGTGGTAAAGGGCAGATCAATTTTAAGGGATAAATAAACATCTGTGTCTCTGCTGTCTTGTTTTCTGTTAGAAAGAATAATAATAAGCTTTTGAGACTACGGGTTTTTCCAGTGTGGAGTTTTAATTTTTGTTGTATGCCCACTTCCAAAAACTTGGCAGCTTTTTTGCTTTGATTTGTAATCCCGTGTAATTATAAGTAGGTTGTTTTCTCAGGGTCAGGATTCCTCCTTATTTTGTGCGTCAGCTTTGTTTGGGGGTTTTCTGGGTGGGTGTGTTGTCTGTTTTTATCCTAACGAAGAAAGACAGGAAAAACCCAGGCAGAGCATCAGTGTAGCTTAATTCGGACTGCCTTTCTTTATAAACCCCCAGGAGCTCTGATACTGCGGGGGCAATTCTTGTAACTGCTGAGTCCTCTTACGTGCATCTCGCCGTCCTTGAAAGAGCTGCTCTGTGTGAATTCAGAAGACTGGATGTTCATATCTCCCTTAACTCCCCTCAAAAATACGTTTGTTTCTGTAATGTATTATGCAATGTTCTTATCTTTCTAAATAGAGTTTTATTAAATCTTACTCTTATACATGCTCATCTGTGTAGTAGCTAGGGGTTATATTGAAATATCACAGAGCTAAAAGTATATTGATAAAAAATGCACTTTTGTTTGGCCAGTAAATCCCTTTGTTCTCATCTTCAGTGGTCCAAGCTAATCACTGCTCCATTATTGCTTTGGCTTCAGAAATGACAAAACAGTTGTGTTTATTTAGCATGAAGCATATTTCCTGATCTGCATTTTGTTGATGTACATACATATGAGACGTTACTGTCCCACATTCCTCAGGAGCAGACAGCAGTCCTTAAACTGTGTTTCACTGCCTCCATAACCTCTCTCCTAATGGTGCCTTTCATCACATGTTGTCTCTCTGTCCAGGCTTTCTCAGCTCTCCCTTCCCTGGTGCCCGTTTTCTCCCAGCCTATGTCATGCTTGGGGTTGATGGAGTGGAGATCTTGCTGTTTCCAGCCCTGCTCTGCGCTCTGTTTAGCTCTGCTTCTCTTTGAGTCTTTGCTGCAGCCAGGGGTGGCCTTGTACCTTCCTTGAAGAGTGGCATTGCCACGCTAGGCGTTGCCATTATCCTGACCTCCTTGACTGAGTCACTGGGAACGGTGCTTTTTATAGCGCTGCCAGTCATTAGGACTGGAAATGGTAATAAAGGACGTACCGCTTATTATTTAACGCTGTTGAAATACATATAGCGAGGAGGTCAAATGCATAATTTAACCACAGGGATTCTGGTGGCCATGTTAAATCACCCATCTGAGCTAATGTCCTGACTTGGTACATAAATCTTGGACTTCAGCTTGGTCTATACATAAATATCTTCCTTTAGGACAATTCACTTATAAGGCTTTTTCACTGCTAAATGCTGCTTTGAGGATCTTAATCTATCTTTTAATCACAATATCACCATTATGATACTGCTATAAACAGAGTGCCTGTGTATTGTTTGTGAGATATGTTTCTTGGACTACTCTTTAGGCAAAAGGCTAGTAAAAAAGACAAACAGAAACAAACCAACCCAAACAAACAGTCTTTTAAATGGTCCATGTATCTCGCCACTGTCCAAAGGAAGCATGCTGAGAAATACTCTCCTTTTTTTGCCATTGGGAAACCTGAGGTCTCCTTTTACCCATTTGCAAAGTGGTGCTTCAGGTAAATTATTAACATTAACACAATAAGCAATGTAATGACAACTAAACATATGTAGCTGTGAAGCCTAGCAGGAGGTTGGAGTGTGGGCTCAGCAGGGACTTTTCTAACTCTTTCATCAACTTCTTTAGTGCCTGGATCTTCTGACCATCTGCAAAGCCAGCTGTAATCTTCGGGCAAAGTTTTCATGGAAGCTCTTAGTTACAGGATTGATGGTAGTTGGTTTATTCCCTCCATTACTAGGATGACCTGTCTGCTGTGTTCGACTGTGTTGCTTGGGGGGGTTGTTTGTTGTTCTGAATGCTAATTTATGGACACCGAAAGCTGACAATGGGCAAGGACTGAGGCTTGATTAAATTGCAGTGGTTGATGGCACAGCATCCCTCTGCGTGCACCTGCAGCGTTCCAGATTGTCCCACCTCTTGGGGGTGGCGTAGAGGGAAGTGGTTAGTTGACGGCTGCGTTTTAATCACCCGGAGCAATTATGTGATAATATTTCATGTCTAGTCACAAGGGAATTCCTGTTGTGGCTGCTTTTCTGCTCCAGATGCCTTGTTTTGCTGCAATGCTGTTCTCTTGACTCTGAACTTCCCACTTGATTTGGGTTGAGTCGTCTTCTTTCCCAAGTAACATGCCATCATTTTACCTATTTGCCACTGGTTCAGTTGTTCTCCTGCCAGTTTGGCTGAGCCTTTAGCAAATATTCCCCTCCAAAAAAGTGGAGCTTAATTCAGGACAGCCAAATGATCCAGGGGCAGTGCTGTCTTGGTGTGAACTGGGATTGGTTCAGGCTGTGATGTGATGCTCTTTGCTCCTGCAAGGGGAGATGCCTGTGCCCTACCAGCCTTTCTTTCCCTTGCTTTTATGGCAATTCTGGCACTTCTCTGGACACGCCTTCAGCTGATTCAGCTTGCTAACCTGGTAGCAAAACTTCTCTTTAAATATTTTTTTTTAATTATTACTTTTATTTTTTCTGGGTTTTCTACTGGGTTAATGAAGTGAAACGGCTCTGTGCAGTGACACATGCCCTAGACTGTTGTGATGTCTCATGGGATTATAGCAGGTATTTGTAAGTAGCCAGAAATGGTACAACAAATAAACAAACCTCTGTGTGATAAATTTGGCACTGCTTGTCGGATGATATTTCTTGGGGTAGAGGATAGATGTGCGTTTCAAGTGGACTTTCAGATTTTAGTTGTTGTTAATTAGTTTGAAGGGATCATTCTGACAAGACCCTTCCCAAAATAAGAGCTGTGCCACCTTTACCTTCTCCCATTTGTGAATGGAATCTCACCCGTTTCTGCATATCCTCCAGTTGGCTGGTCTCTGCAAGGAGGCTTCAGAAATACTGATGCTTCTCTTTCTTCCCACAAGTGCCAGGATTTGTCTTGTCAGTGTTGGTTCCTGGCTGACTGGCTTCTACCTAGTCCCAAATCAATGAAAACCCTGAGTTATTGTACCCAGTGTGGTAGTTGTCAGAAGTAGCAAGATTGAAACTGATATTGCACCCATGCCCTTGCTTCCCTTGTACAGGGTGAATGGGGCTTAGGGACCCAAGGCAGATACTTGCAATGGGCAGAAAGACTATTCTAAATTTGTTTCAGATGAGGCTTTGGAATTACTCTCTCTGGTCCTAATGGGTGCTGAAGGGGTCAACAAGTCCCTGTGGTCAGAGGTATCCAGGAATACTGTGAGACCAGAGCAAACTACTTCTTCTGCGTTTTTTTTATGGCTTCCTCAGCTATGGTAGAGATCCCAAACTTTTTTATTTCTTCCCCTTCCCTCTGTGAGT